GGAAAAAAAAACCAACCATAACCATTAATAATTTAGCGGGCACCCCAAAATGAAACCAAAATGCCCAAAAAATTTGGTACCATTTTTTTACCCACATTAAACCCTTTTTTTACCCCCCCCCCCCCCCCCCCCCCCCCCCTTGCCAAACGCAATATTAGCTCCACCCTTTATGTTCTCGACAATTCACAATCTTTGTTATTGAACAGGCCAGAGAACTCCCCTGCTTCTAATTCCTCTTGCAATGAGACACCAACCGCCGCTGTCATCCAATTAAGGTGCCTAGCTGGCAGGCTCATAAGCATCCTCTTCGTACGCTTCCCGCCAGAAGCCTGTGTCGCACATGCTTTCGCTCTGGTTGCCATAGCGAGAATTTGGAAGATATCTAAATTTGCTCAGATGATTGTGTTGGAATAGGTCGTGACGAAATCAATAGTGCAACCGTCATCGACATCAGATGCAGGCGATGGTGCCATCAGCACCAGAACGCAAATGACAGATCATAAAAGCCGTAAGCAGCAGGTAGCAACGAATTAAATAGTAGTCGTAAACGGTAGCATCGGGTGCTGCACCCGCCGGTGTTCCGATCGCGTGATTTAAGAAGTCCATTGCTGGCGGTGTTTTGTGTTGTATTCTGCCAAAGGCAGGTCACAGTCGGAATGAACAGTTGGCCCATTCTGGTGAAAAACGAACTGATCAACACGCTCCCTTTTCGCAGGCATCGCAGAGTGAGACGGAACTTGCTACGACTGCGCTGCAGCCGTGCTTGAGATTATGGTCACAGAGCTTATCAGACATCGAGCGAGCGTGTTTGTCTGGTAGCAGAAACGGCCTGGGTAGGACGTGAGAGAGCGTGGTGCGTGGTGTTATTGGTGAGATAAAAGACTCCAGGAATGAACAAACGTTGGTTTGATGGGTATAAACGAAGGTGCTTCGATCCCAAGGGAAATGGTTTTAGCCGAACTTCAGGTAACTGGTGATAGTGGAGAAGGAATGATGGAGAGAAGACGCTTGATGATCGTCAAGCATCCCAGCCCCCGGTTTTATATCCACCCAACTCCCCACCTCTTGACCCTCGCAAAGGATCACTGAAATTTACCGACCCTCTCATTCCCTCAACAAACGCGAATTCATCCTTCTCTGTCACATCTCATGCCCTCCATCCTGCAACAGGGGAATCAGCCCCGATGCACAATAGAGTCTTGGTAGGGGGTGCTTGTCACCGACTTTCGGGGTTTGGCTGCGCCGGCCTGCACATATATCGACTTATTCGTCCAACCGCATGATGAGATAGAAGGATGGATGTCAAAGGGGCCACAAAGTAGCGGTCGGAAATACCCCACCTTATCCAGGCGCAATCTAAACCGCGCGATGATACCACCCTTCGATGCACTCGGCCCTTCCAGGCTTTTCTTTACCCCTACCTAAGGGTTGGTTTTGGTTGTTGCTCCCGGTTCCCGATAGGACTCCTCGTGCTTGGAGAATTATTTGATCGGTATCCTGCACTCGCGTCGTCTTATATGTATGCAGACCATCGGACATTCCGATGTGCCGAGAACTAAACACATTGGCATGCTGGCTCCCTCCCGCTTCCTGGTAACGAGCAAGTGATGTTATAAGTGGTTTGTAATATGATGTATCATCGCCTGCAGCCATGTATATAGTGGCTGCTCTGCCCGCAGGCGTGGGGTGTTGTTGTTGTTGTTTGGATGCGAGGTCAGTGGTGTTGGGGGCTGGACGGAGCGCGGCGGCGATAAGGAGTAGGCTGTGCGATTGGTGCCATCGAGATGCACAATTCTGATGTCTTGCATCTGAAAGACACATGAAAGGAAGTAGGGTGCTTTTATATACGTCCGGTCATTTCCGCGCGTCCACTTCCAAGCTTGCCGGTCTGGCTTTGTGATGCCTGACAGGATGCCCACAGAACTGCCGAGCCTTGCCCATGAATTGATGGGGCTGCTGCGAGAAGTATTAGATGTCATGTTCATAGGAAAATCATGGGGTCAAGAATGGGATCCAGTATTCGCAGCACAATCGGCTAACTTACGTGATAAGCGAATGATACACTTTCTGGCACGACACGACCTTCCAACTTCTATCACCAATCCTACCACCAATTCGCTATAAATTCGCTTCCAAGAGAATCGAGAGTTATTCTCGCCCTCAAAGCTTTTTACGCATAAATACGACTAATAAAGGGCCAAATTTGAAGATCCAAAGGTTATTCGCGGCTGGTTTGCTCTTGTAAACAGCCATAAGGCTAAGTACGACATTCTCGACGAGAATTCGTACAACTTCGATGAGACCGGCTTTTTGATGGGCATTATCATCACCACTATGGCAGTTACTACCTCGGAGGGCCGCAGCAGAGCCAAACAGGTCCAGCCTGGCAATTGAGAGTGGGCTACAGTTATCCAAGGAGTGAATGCTCTGAGCTGGGCCATCCCACCATTCATCATCTTGGCTGGGCAATATCACCTTGCCAACTGGTATCAAGAATGCAACCTTTCAGTCAACTGGCATATTGAAACAACTTACAATGGCTGGACTACCAATGAGAAAGGCATGGATTAGATTCAGCACTTCGATTTTCACACAGCATCTCGTACAAAGGGCGAATATCGGTTGTTGAATCTTGACGGCCATGATAGTCACCACTCCGAAGAATTCGAAACCTACTGCCAGGAGCATAACATTATCATGCTCTGCATGCCTCCGCACTCTTCACGCATACTTCAGCCATTAAATGCCGGTTGTCTTGGGCCGTTAAAGAAGGCATATAGCTGCCAAATTAAGCAGCTGATGCGGATGAACATCACACACATCAGCAAGTTGAAGTTTCTCTGTGCGTTTAGAGAAGCGTTTTTTGCTTCAATTACAGAAAAGAACATCTAGTGAGGTTTTGTCAGAGCCGGTCTTGTACCGTAAAATCTAGAGAGGGTATTATCTTAGTTAGATGTGCAGCTCTGGACTCCAAAGCCTCTAATCTCAAGGCTAGGCACGGCACTACCTTGGCTCTCCCAAGCACCACACAGCCCTCGGGAAGCTACCTCGAAATTAGAGCTTACTAAAACTAGAACTTCCAACCATCAAAATAGCTCTAACCTCAATGCTAGCTGCTATAGACCAATTTACCAAGGGAGCAATGGCAATAATGCATGAGGTGGCTCTTCTCCGTACATGTGACGGCCACCCGATAGCAGTGCATTAACCATTGAGAAAACCTTCCAAAAGGAATGCCAGAATAGCAAGATCAACATCTTGTTACCTGGATGCACTATATGTAGTGTTTGGCGGGCACAGCCACCGTCACAGTACAAAGGTCTTTTCACTACGTAAGGCGAATGACGGGGTTAGTAAAAGACGGAGAGCTAAAATAAAAAACATGTGTGCGGCTTGGAGGGTCACTTACTGTACAAGAAGCACATGATCTTCTAGACCAAAAGGCCGTGGATGAGCAGGTAATCCAGGAAACACGACAAAATAGTGGTGGTGCAGGGGGTCTCGTACCAAGACTCGGTGTTGTGGCATATGCGGCAAGCCCGGCCATAATGAACGCACGTGCAAGGAGACTACAAAATCGTTTGATTCATCTGTTTTTAATTTTAATTCAGTTATTGTTATGTCCTAGTGTTGTAGTTGTGAAATTAAGGATGACTGTGGTGGGGTGGTGGAAAGTGTACAGTTCACTTGTCTATACCGTTCGCTTATCATGCACGTTAAGCATGAGCACAATTGGGTAAAATTGAGTTGAGACGCGTTGGGTGAGCTTTCTCATGACATAGGGATGCTTCAACAAGTCGACGATGGGGTCAAAGAGAAGTTGAAAAAAAAAGGACTCGGATACCGGGAGTCGAACCCGGGGCTGTTGAGAGAACAAGCCACTTCTAAGAAGTGAGAGTCAACGATGTTACCGCTACACCATACCCGATAGGATGGTTCTGATTGGACTGTGGTGATGAATGGTGGAGTTAGGGCTCATCAACCTAGCTGTTTCTGAGCACTGAGAATATCATGAACAAATGGCGATGGATTATGACAGAGAAGTATAATGTTTCGGAGCTTTTGAGAACGGTCCCAAGATGACCTGACAAGTTGCACCGCACATTCTAACCTCCACCTTGGCGTGTATTATGCATGAAGAGGCTGTGTTGCGTGTGTAGATATGTGGCATTGTATGTATGTACTATTCATGACCTTGCTGTCAATAAAACAAGATGTTGTTTGTTCCACCCCTCCACTTCTCTATCCCATTCTGCACAATATTGTGGTGGTGGGCGGCCGTCGGTTCTGGTTGGCATTCCCCTCAAGTAGCAGCTGCGAAGCGTGGCGAGATATGGCTAACTCGGCGGTGGGATAGACCATCATCGACTCGAATGTGAGTTGGGTTGACCATTAATTGCCGAGAAGAGGCATGTACGCTGCCAGAGGCACAGTTCGCTATGTTGAGGATCCCGCGGCCGACAGGATGAGCGTTATGAGGAGTAAGGTCCTGCCGAATCGTCGCTGTAGTGTGGCGTCGGAGATATTGAGAGTTTCGAAGCCTCGGTTATTCTAGTTGCCTCGCAACTTGGTCCCTGTAGGAGAGAGAGCTGTGTCTTCGACTGAGAAATGGCAAGTGCTGACTGATCGGTGCAACCTGCACCAAGGCTATGACCCAGAAGGCAAGAAATAAGAAAAGAGGAGTAGCACGGGTTACGAAGGAAGTTAAAGCTTGAAGAGAATTCAGATCTACTGGGCGTACGAAGTTGACCCCTTCTTAGCTTCCCCTGAACCAATTTTTGCTCTCCCTGGTTGTCCGACTCGCCTTTGCCGCAGTGAACAACCACCATTGCCACTAAAGAGCTGATGGCGCTGTCGGCGTAGCATACGCCAACGACCAAGAAGCCGTGTATCGCGATGTGGCGACCGGGACAGGCGAACCAGCTTGATTGAAAGTCGCCGTCGTAACTATAGATTGTTGGATCCTATTTCCTTGGTCAGAAGCATTCTAGAATCCTGAGGAAGGTATGCTGATGACTTACCAGCTAGACCAGCGTGTTGCGGTTGTTGGTCCAGTGACTGGGCCCGGGGCAACTTTGGTAGTCTCTGGCCAAGCACCCGACCAGACGGTAGGGCCTGGAATCTTGTAGATGCTAGCATCTGTGCATGGGGCGAGAGGGGCACGCTCGGTCGAGCAATAAATCTGAACCGAGTGTCAGTCCACTTCGAAATGTTGATCATCACTCCAACGCACGTTGTAATGAACCCCAGGGTCATCGTATCTGTAAGCTCCTGGGAACGATACGCCTTCAGGGAGCTCGACATCACCATCACCGACCACCTCGATTTGAACACAGTTTGGATAGAACTGAGCACCACGCCACGAGTTCTGATCAAACCGAGCATCCGCCTCATGGAGACCGACCATCTCAGCCCGGATCAAATAGCTGCCAAAAGTCAGCATGGCCTTGCAACATGGCTTCTGGGACATTACTCACAAGCCAGCCTTCAAGTTCGCTGGAATACGGAAGTTCATCAGTCCATTGTTGGCTTTGATGTCTGATGTCGTTGCCCACTTGCCAGGGCTGAAAGGTGCAGACCCAAGCTCGTAAAGTCCCTTCTCCCAGATTTTGACAAATGAGTTCTCCGTTGGCGGATCAGGGGCCAGATACACAAGTGCAGGTCCATGGTGACTAATGTCAATCACGTCGTCCGCAATCGTGCGGTTGTTGTGATGCCAGTCAAAAGTGATGTTATCTCCTGGGGCGACCTTGATGGTATGAGGGACTTGCTTGTCTCCCAAAACATTGCATCGCATGTCAATTGAGTTGAGATCCTTGACTGGAGAATTGGAGTACCCTCTGGGGGGAGGCCCGTTGTATGCTGGTATCCGGATGCCGTTGAAGGTGCCCTGATCTACGCCATTGACAAACACGCCCTAATTTTGGTCAGCCATCTGATCATGTTAACTGCTAATGGGATGCATACCCAGATAAACACATGAGCCTGAGCAACGCTCACATTGGCCACTGCCACCGCCGCCGCGAGGAGAGCTTGAGACTTGAGCTTCATGATTCACAGTTGTAGCCAGGACCGCGATACCCGACAACATTTACTGATAGACACCAGAAAAAACAGCGCCGCCGCCATTTACATACACACAGCATCCACGCAGCCAAGGAGGCTCCGCTTCATCCAACGGGTGCAGCATCTTCCGTTGCTTCGCGCCCAGAGCATCCTAATATCGAGCGGGCCGTGTCATCCGAGGGTGTTTATTAGCCGGATGGTCAACCTCAAAACTTGGAAGAATACAATGCCCAGTGATGACTCAATAAGTTCTTAGTCGGGCGCCTATTCGCTTATCGTTCTCTCAATGCACAAATTGGAAGGATACTGAGGTGATGATGGATAAGTGTAGTACGTGGCCGAGGAGCCTTAGAGACTCGGTGTCACGAATGAGAGGCTTAACTAGGTCAAAGGCCAATACCATTGCCAGTTTATCAATGTAATCGTAAGATGAAGAAGAAAGGAAGAAGTGTGGACTTGCAGCTCCATCTTCTTGCCATACAACCCCGGTTGGAGCTCCGGTCCAACACTCAACCCTAACCCTGCATCCTGTGTAATCCTGTCCTTCACCACCAAGCCGTGACATTCAGACTGTATTTCGGAGCTATCTGTGACGTTTAATAGCGAATATCAACTGATTTACTTCGAAAAAAAATTGATATCTAAGACAAGGTCATAAGTCTGCCGGACTAGATAGACAGGAGAGGATGGACTCCGGCCATACCAAATAGTGACTGTATTGTGTCGGAACCGCATTAGACCGACAAGGTAATGCGAGCCGCGACAAGCAAACATTTGGAGCAACAAGGTACCTGGGCTTTTTATGGTTCCAGGCCTTCAGGTTGAATTTCTGTTTCACTGTTTATGAGATTTGCAACATAAGTGGGCCTCGGCAGCATGCGCTTCTACCAGCGGCTTCGGCTCCGACACCGACACAGACCATCCAGTTTCCCACTTGACGGGATCACCCCGCGACAGAAATGTCGATGTTGAAACCCGTGTGCGGGGGAATTCGCACACCGAGCTTCGGCCACTAACGGCACCGATAACAGGTTGCTTAGCAAGCTCCCCGAAGCTCCCACATAGCTCCATTTGTTCCTTGGATGGTGTTGTCGATAGCGCCATATGACGCGACCATCCGAAACCCATTTGCTTTTGTCAGCAAGGAGGGACTTGTGCCAATTCAAACCTCTTCAAAAAGACGTTTGGCTTCCCTGAACGAAAACTGGCAGATTCGTCAACGACTCCACCCATTGAAACCCTATTTTGACAACAAGCCCCTTGCCTGACAGTAAACACTGGTTCCCAGTCAGCAACAAGAAAACCATTGCAAAATAAAGCCAAAATGGGTTCTACAAATGCCAAGCTCACGCTTTACACCAACCACAGATGCCCATGGGCCCACCGAGCTCATATCATCTTGGAGGAACTCAAGGTGCCCTTCGAGGAAGTTATCATCGATCTCGACACTCCGCGCACACCAGAATATCTGAAGATCAACCCGAGGGGCTTGGTCCCTGCTCTCTCTTACAACGGCGAGATCATCATCGAATCTGCTATTGTGGCAAATTTCCTGGCAGACGCCTACCCATCTCATCTCTTGCCCCCTTCCAACACATCCGAGGGCGCGCTTCGCCGGGCACGTGTTGCGTTGTTTGTTGATGCTTTCATTTCAAAGTTCAACGGCCAGCTCTTTGCGCTCTACACAACGGAGGGCGAGGCCGCAAGAGCTGAGATCGCAGACAAGGCTGTCGCCGCTCTCGTCAAGGAGGTTGAACCGTTGCTTGCTGATGCCAGCCCCTATTTTGGTGGCAGTGACAAGTTGACGCAGGCCGAGGTGACTCCCATGCTTTCCAACAAGAAGAGAACCTTTATTAACAACTCTCTAGGTTTTGACTGGCTCCTTTGTTATCCGCATCAAGAGCTTGTCCCAGACGGACCTCTACCCATCCAATTTGTGGCCATTGATTGTTGAGAAGGCCCCTAACTTCAAGAAATGGGCTGAAGTTGTATCTGTACACCCTAGCGTGACTTCCATCTTCAATGAGCAAGAAATCATCGAGGGGACAAGAGCAAGGATTGCGAAGCTGAAGGCTCAGAAGGCTCAACAGTAATAAGGAGCTTAAACTCTCGGTGTTTTCAAGGAGCGGGGCCAGTGGGGTTGAGCGGCATGTGAAGTCATTAAGGACACCGACAGCTATAAATCATGACATGATGAGCAGTTGCCAGTATAAGTATCGCTGTTGTATCCGTACACAGTAGACAAGAATTGTCCCTGTGATGGTTGCTTAGATCCAACCCGAAGATAGGTATAAAGTGAACAAAGAGACGCGTGAATCACGCGCCCAAAAGCGTTGGAATTCGTTTTCCCTTACAGTTCGAACCCTGCTGCTTGGCAGATCCCCCAGATTCAAGATTGCGTCAGGAGCTCGGACCACCGCATCGCCGAGCTCAGCACCCAGGGCAGTTTACAGCCGAGGCATGGGACTCTCTGACGCTGCCCTGAACGCCAACGCCAACGCCAATTCATTCAACGCTCAACGACATTCCATCACTCTGACAAACCCGTGAAGCCCCTTGATATCGTTGTTACGCGCCCATAAGCGATTTCCACTGCGACCGACACCTTTTGCCGTCACTCTCGCTCTCCTTTTCCCACATGCCGCGCCTTTTGTAACTTCCGAATGCGATGTCGAGGCCATCCGACAGACAGGACCCGACCTCTGCGTCGGGGCGCTCTGGCGTGAGGCGCGCCTTTTCGCTGCCTCCACAATGGCTTCATATGTACGATGAGTTCATCACCAAGAACTCCCATCAGGTGTCGCAGATAGAGTCGACGCTGCGATCACTGACGTACATCATACCTGGTAATTGCCAACCCCT